TATTTTAATGCTGCATAGGAAAACCGCGACGAGTTCCACCTGCAATTCATTGGCCAGTTACCTCTCAACGGTCCGCACACAGAGACATTTACAGAAAACATGTGACTTATGAGCTCAGCGGTGCCTTGTTGCGCGTCGTAAAATGCATCGCTCGTGGTCTCCGGCTCTCTCTTCCCCTCTTTCTCTTTATCTCCTTCATTTTGTTTCTATTTCTCTCGTTCGTGGGCAATGGGAGGGAGACGCGCAAACACACGCTGCTGCGAGGAGTGTTGTTTTAGAACAATGGCCCACAACGACGCGGTCAAAACCGGTCTACCAGGCTGGCTACGCAAAAAGAGCACAACCCAGCTCCATAGAGTCAAAGAAGAACTGTTCGTAAATGAGGCTCATGATGACACGAACTTTGGGAAAGATCGGAATGAGGAAAAAGATCGACCTGCACCGTGGACGAAGTCCTTGCAATCATGTTACAAAGAAACTTTGTCTGGCAAACGAACGAAATCGTCGGCGGGAAATCGGATCCCCGATCAGTTGGCCACAACATCGTGTCACCGGATCAGCGGGTCACCGGATCAGCCGGATCACCAAATCGGCTGGCCACAACACTAAGTCACCGGATCACCGGACCAGCCGGACCAGCCGGATCTGCCGGATCAGCCGGATCAGCGATCAGCTGGCCACAACATCGGGTCACCGGATCACGGGGTCACTGGATCAGCTGGCCCGATCACCGGATCAGCCGGATCACCGGATCAGCCGGACAATCGGATTATCGGCCATTTGAGGAAATAAGCCGCCACCAGTGGGAGAGTACAAAAGGAGAGGAAGGCGCTCTTTGACTCGGCGGTCGGAGTCTCTTTTTCAGCGGGCGGAGTCTCTGACTCAGCAGGCGGAGTCTCTGATTCGGCGGGCAAAGTCTCTGACTCAGCGTGCGGAGTCTCTGATTCGGCGCGCGCAATAATCTCTGATTCGGCTTGCGGAGTCTCTGATTCGGCGTGCGGAGTCTCTGATTCGGTGCGCGAAGTCTCTGATTCAGGGTGTGCTGTCTGTGATTCGGCGCGCGCGGTCTGTGATTCGCCGCGCGCGGTCTGTGATTCAACGTTTGGTCCGTGATTCGGAACCTCCCATCCATAACAGACAACAGCGGTATCCGAAACCTGCGCAATAACGGCTTCCGTAACAGACAACTCCGCAAAAGACTGCTTCGCAACCGATCTACGAGAAAACGTGCAAGCAACAAAAAAAGGGAAAAATGAAGATTATCCCTCTCGCTTCTGTCCCTTATTTACCCTTCCTTGCAATATTTGTCCCCTCCTCATGCTATTCCCAACTCCCCTCCCGCTCCCTTCTGGGCTCCCTCCATCTCTAGCTCTTTCTCATTCTGGCCCCTCCCAATCATCCAGCTAAATTTTCCCTTATTGTGAACGTTTTCCAGGTGTTTCGATGTTGAGCGAAAAAGGGGAAAAGGAAGTCTGGCTCCAAACCTCTGCATAGTGCGACTGTTTGCAACCGTGCGTCCTGTAAGACTCCGCCTGCTTAAAACAGGCGCCAAAAAGAGCCAAACTGTACTCCACCGGGGGGGGACGGGGTGCGAGGGCCCGCGCCGATCGGCAAAACAACGAATAAGAAAACGATCACATTCCGGTCCCTTAGATCCCTCCCGTTCCAAGTCTCTCCTCCCGCTCCAGCTCGATCTGTCTGGTGCCCTCACATTCCAGCCCACTCCCGACGGGAAATAAGAAAGGAACATAACTGAGCACGAAGCGGGGGAACTGCTCGTTATAAACATATTATCGTCTCCATTTTCGTATCTTTTCTCACCATTTTCTCCAACTTCCTTGTCCTCCCCTTTTTTCTCCCTCACCCTCCCTCTCCCCTTCCTGGCCCGCTTTTTGCGTGTCTGACTTGGCAAGCATGCGTGTCGGCACGCATGGTTCTCACGGGGCGCCGTGTCAAATAACTGGATTTCGCTACCGTCGGGAAGAAGGGGTTATCGCATATTGAAAGGAGATGTCGCAGCCGTGCGGCGAGTGGGCGCCGTCGTCGCGTGAAACAGCGCTCCAAAACGGGTTCCAAAAGGAATGGCTTATGTTCAAGTTTGCCCGGCCTTCGCCTTCAGCGCGCATTTGCTGTTCAACTGTGCGTATGTTTCTTCGCCATGGCCGTGACGCACTGGGATTTTCGGCGTAAAGAACCAGACTGAGCCAGACTGGGACGAAGCGAACAGACAACAGCGACCAACGTTCGAGGCAGTGCTGTCGGGGGCTGCAACAACAATATCCAATGTACGACTGTTTGCTCTTCGTAGCTCGATTGTCACTCGACATGTACCCCCTAGGCCCTCAATGCACGCCGTCTTCGACTTCGATCGTAGCCCCTTTGATATGAATATTTTCCACTGGCAGCTGGCTTGCCCCCTGAAATAGGAAAAGGGGAAAAAGAGAGACAGCGATGGAGGGAGGAGGAAACGAAATGGAAGGAAGCGGTCCAGCAGGAAGGAGAGGAGAGAGGAGCAGGAAGATGGGCTGGCGGACCCTAGCGGGCAGGTCGGGCGGGCGAACCCTAACGATCGGGGCCGGGCGGGCGGACCCTAACGGGCGGATCGGGCGGGCCATGAGAGCTAGGTCGGGCATGTCAAACAATATTCAAAGCAGTCACAGAGCACACGACAAATTGTCACCATACTATCTTTTAGCATTCTTGAATCTTCCCCCTGTCGAGGGACATGCCCGACTTGACATGTGGCGGTGCATGAAATTGGTGGCTCCCAAGTGGTGATGTGTGCACCGCCACCCTCCCCGGAGGGAGGAGGAGGAGGAGGAGGAGGAGGAGGAGGAGGAGGAGGAGGAGGAGGAGGAGGAGGAAGGCGTCAATGTAAATATTCTCGTGGCGGAGCTTCCAAGCAGACGAGCCGGCGGACCGTGACGAGCGGGTCCCGCGGGCGGGCCCTAACACGGGCGGGCCGGGCGGGTCGTGGCAGCGAACGCCGTGCACTGCGAAGAAGTCGCAGGAGAGGGCGGGCGGGCCACTGGAGCGAGCGGGCGGACATCCAAGCAGACGAGCCGGCGGACAAGAGGCGGCGGCGGAGGAACACGAGGAGGGGAAATAAGCAAAATGGGTGCCAAACTCAGCCGAGATGCACGTCATGACTGTGTACGACCCGGGTGAGCGAAAGCCACGTCGCGGAGCCAGGCCAGCCGCGAAGAAGCGGCCAAACACGTAACACGGGCGGGTCGGGCGGGTCATCGCAGCGAGCTGCATACACTGAGATCGAAGTCGCAGGCGAGAGAGCACGGTGCCGCAGGAGATTCGAGGGACGTCTCGTCACGCGCGCCACTCCTCGGCGTGGGCAAGTTGCAAAGAGCCCAGAGACTCGACGCTCCAGAGCGGCGTTTTTTGGTCACTTTCGGTCTTCAGGGGCCCTCGCCTGGCCTCGGGACCGCCAAAAAACGACTCAGGAGGAAAAGCCGGTCCTGGGGAAGTGGTCCAGACCTCTGGGGCCCACGCCTCGAATAAATCGGAGCGGCCGATGTCTGGGAAGTCCTTGGCGAAAGCGCGATTCCGAAGTAAATTGCCAGGAAGTCTCAAGCGCAAGCGCGATCATGTAACAAAATGTGAGGAAATCTCCAGAGGGAGCCGTTACCATTATAGCCTGGGGGCCAGTGACCAATTCGAGCACGAAGACCTGCCCTGACAAGAAACAGGGTGCGAGCCCCGAGGGCATTTCAATTAGAAAGAACAGTGCGCGCCGGACAATGGAGATTGACGGAATGAGTCCTCAACAGTGATAATGCAAGCCCCCAACAAGCTCTGGAAGGGCCTGAGAAGGCCCCGATAGGACCCCAAGAGGCCCCTACGGGGGCCCAAAGAAGCCTCCAAGAAGCCCCCGAGAGGCAACGCAGCAGCGCTGCAACGTGACAGCCGCGAGACGCTGCAGCATCGCGGCGCTGCCAGACAGCCCCAAAGTGGCTCAGCCGAATCGTTTTGCGATGGCTCGGCGAAGCCATTCTGTCTGGGCTTCGACGCTGCGCCGGCACGGTGGCGGCGTTTGCTGCAGGCAGCTGGACAGAACATGCAGTGGAAACAAACGATAAGAAAACCTGCCACACGAGATCTTGGGGCACATGATCCGCCGATTTTCGAGGGTCCTACGATGCCCTGGAGCTTCTGTGGCCTCCCAAGGCCATCGGCGGAGGATATATAAGAAACTTCCATGCAGCACCTGCTGGCAGGTCAGTTTCTTTTTTGCCCTTCCTACTGTAGGTTAGGTAGGAAGAGCTGAGACAAGCTTCGCTGAGGACAGGCTGAGCTAGATGCCCTCGGCCAATTCGGAAAGCCGCAGTAAGCCGAACTAAGCTGCTATGGCCAAAGGTATACCAGAGCTGTCCAAGTCAAGCCAATTCGCCCTCAGCTAACATGACGTAAATGAGTAGGAATACCTGAACATAGGCATTACCTCAGCCAGTGCCACTGGCATAGGAATACGCGTAAGTAGACGCACTCGTGCTTACATATCGTTGGCCTGTGTTAGCATAAACGCTGAAACGGTTTGTCACGAGTTACTGAGCGTGGCCACAACTCACCCACCCATTCTGTCAGACAAAATGCGTCTTCTGTGCGTCTTGTGTGTCAGATCGTGTGGACGGTTGTCGGTGCTGTACGGGGCCGATCCCTCCATCGCTCACATCAGCGAGATGCCGTACTCCCGAACACTCAGTGGCTGAGAGATTTGCGCGCTCTTTTTCCCAAGGGCTATGTTTCCCAAAGAAGGTGGCCGATTTACGTGGCCACACTATACATTACGATCTCATAGGAGGAAAAAATGTTATGATAATGCACCCTCCTGCTCGCAGCAAACACTCGTAAGAAACCCAAGGCTAGCTCAGGCTTTGCTTACGAGCTGATCGATTACAACTTACCATGCATTGGTGTCCGGCTTACGCCAGCGGTTTACCCACCGCCTGCTTCAACGATCCCTCTGGTGCGACACATTGCTTACCGACACAACCTATCAGAGTTACGGGAATTCTCTGGTTGATGTTCATTCCTGGCTAAAATAGTTCTGGCTTTTGCAGTGTGATGCGGGGTCGTCGCACCCCCCAGCTGCTTTAGCACAGACTACGCACAATACTCGTAGCGCGTCACATCTGACGCACGGCTCGAGGAGGGGGGCCCATATTTTCTCGGCCCCGCCCTGAAATCGCGAGCCGCCCCAGACGTGCCAGCCAGGACCACCGCGTACCTCACGCGAGCGGGGCCGCGGCCACGCGGTCTGCACCAGCGTTCCAGGCTCCAGGCCCCTGCAGGCAGCACGCGAAGCCACCGCGCCCCCCTGCCGCCCGAGCGGACTCCAGCCAGCGCGGGCGGCCTACATAAAGCCCGCCTGCCCCAGGATGTCGGCCGCACGCAAGGGTGACCCTAACCAAGATTCTCCCTCCCCCATCTCTACATCCCTCCTCCCTCCTCCCTCCTCCCTCCTCCTCCCTCCTCCTCCTTCCTCCTCTTTCCTCCTCCCTCCTCCTTCTCCTCCTCCTCCTCAGCCTCCTCCTCCTCCCTCCTCCTCCTCCTCCTCCTCCTCCTCCTCCTCCTCCTCCTCCTCCTCCACCGTGGTGCGCGGTTTGGGGGGGGCGATGGCGAGGGGACCGAGTCTCAGCGCGCAGGCCCTTGCTGAGGAGACCCTTGCGGGGCCCGCGCCAAAAGGCCACTCCAGCGAAGGGCCACCCTTCACGCGCAGCCGAGGATCGAGCCCAGCTGCTGCACGAGCTGGCTCGCGCTCGCCTGCGGCTGGGCGGTCACCGGCAGCCGCTGCCCCAGGCTCTGCAGCTGTGCCCGCTCCTGCTGCGGCGGCTGGACGCTGCCCAGCGCAGTGGCGAGCAGGCTGACAAGGTCGCTGCCCACGCCGCAGCCGCCTCCCTGGCCTCCGAGGGCCTGGCCGCCCTGGCTGAGGTGGCCACTGCTGCCGCCTCCGCCCGTCCCCCCAAAGTCGCCCCCACCTCCGAAGCCGCCGCCCCCGCCGCTGCCTCGGAAGGTCGGCGCCGGCGGGGGGGGCGCGCGGATGGGCGCTCCACCCATGATTTCACCAGCGGCTTCTGGGCTGACCTTGGAGATCTCATGCGCGATTAGCTCCTTGGCTGCGTGGACGCCCTCGATAGTGCCATATATCTTCACCGTGGCATGGCCAGGATCATGATGTCCCTGGTCCACGTCCACCCGAGTTGCGGACCGGGCGGTGATGTCCTGGACCACCTTGCCTCTTGGGCCCTTCACCCAGCCCACAAACTTGGAATCTATCCTGATGTCCAACCTTGTCCCATAACTGGCAACAGCATCGCTATCCCCAGACTGCTCGGCGACTTTCATCACCTCCGCCACAACAAGACCATGCGCAATCTTTTTTGACTGTTCGTTGCCATGGATCATTACAGTACAGTGGCCCTGGTCCTTGGTGGTCTGGTCGATGTCGACAGCGGCGCCGCTCCTGGCTTCGATGTCGCGAATCATGGCGCCCTGCCTGCCCTTGAGCCAGCCCACGTAGGATGCTGGGATGACCAGCGCTGCCGAGGCGGCATCCTGGCAGCCACGGCCTGAAGACGACGAGGAGGGAGCTGAGGGTGGCATAGCGTGGTGGGGCGTCACGTTGTCATAGTTGCCTCCCGTAATCGCGGAGGCAGTCTCCGGGCTGACCTTCGAGATCTCGAATGCAATCAGCTCCTTAGCATGAGAAACGTTCTCCCGAGTGCCGTAGACCTTGACGAAGGCGTGGTTCGGGTCGCTGGCGGGCTGGTCCACGTCGATGCGAGTGCTAGAGCGCCGGGAGATGTCCTGTCGGGTCGGGCGAAAGGGGGGGATAGCAAAGGGGGGGTTTGAGAATCAGCTCACGTAGCTGATTTTCCCGGCGCCTCCCGGCGCCGGAGGCGACTATGTATCGAGGAATGGGCCCCTCGGTGGGGCCGAAACCAGCTGCATGCAGCAAATTTCGTAGCCCCCCCTTTCCCAATCCCCCCCTTTCGTCCGGCCCGATCCTGTACCACCTTGCCCTTGGGGCCCTTGACCCAGCCTACCAGGCTGGCCTCGATCTGGATCTCTTCCTTGACACCCAGGGAGCCCACTTCCCCGATGGCCCCGGACTGGTCGGCCACCTTCATCACCTCGCCGACGACGAGGCCGTACGCCGTCCTCTTCTGCTCCTCACCGCCCATGATGTTCACGGTGCAGTGGCCGAGCTCCTTGGTCGTCTGATCGATGTCGACCACCGCGCCGCTCTTGCCCTCGATGTCCCGGACCATCGCGCCCTGCCGGCCCTTCAGCCAGCCCACGTAGGAGGCTGGGATGACGATGCTGCTGAACTGGGAGGGCACATCCTGCTCGTGGGGCAGCAGCCTGAGCGACGGCGCTTCGGTCGGGGGCGGGGCACCGCCCGTCGCGAGCAGCTCCGAGCCTGGGGGCAGGAGCCCTGCGGACAGCTGCGCCACGGATGCGCTGTTGATCTCCGCGGCGGTGTCGGGGCTCACCTTGGATATCTCGAACGCGAGCAGCTCCTTCGGGGCCGAGAACAGATCAAGCCATGAAGTTAAGCCTTCGGTTGGCTCTTGGAACGAAGGATGGCCCTCTCCGAGCATTTCCCCGAGAACGTCAATGTGTGCGCACACATTTCCGTATAGCTTCACGTGCACAATAACTGTTATGTAGCGAACAGAAACGCACATACACACATGTTTGAGCACAGAACGGCGTTTACACATGTACACCTAATTGTGCACATCTGTGCATTTATGCGACCCCAGATACGTGTGTATATGCATCTACATACATTCATACCTACCTACCTACATACATACATACATACATACATACAGACATACACACATACATACATACATACAAACATACATACATACATACATACATGCATGCATACACACATACATACATACATACATACATACATACATACATACATGCACCTAGATATATACATGCACTCATATAACTATACATTATCCAACCAGTGGTTGCACTTACGGTTTCGTACTCCTCTTCTACAGAACTGGGCCTGGCTGGCGGTCTGGCGGCCTCGTGCTCTAATTCGCCGCCCCGTTGCCGCCTCGTCACTGCCCGCCGTCTGGGCTTGGCTGGCGGTCTGGCGGTCCCGTGCTCGCCGTCGCGGACCCGTCGCCACCTCGTCGCCGCCCGTCGTCTGCGCGTGGCTGGCGGTCTGGCGTCTGTGTGCTCTCCGTCGCCGCCCCGTCGCCGTCTCGTCGCCCACGTAAATTGCACCACATAGGTTGCGTAAGATAGATTGCGCCACGCAGATTCTCCTTTATAAAGACAGAATCGGATCTACCCCCCCTGGCGTTATCGGTACCCCTTTCGGGTATGTAAATCATATATATATGATTATGTCCACATGTCCATCCTAAATATGAATGTACACTATCCCAGGCCGGCCGGTATCCCCCCCTGAGGTTCCCTTGTAAAAAAACCATGCGGTGACATTTTTTGTTCTAACATAACACTTGTTCACGAATCCCTTGCGACAAATAAGACGAAGTGCACACGCGCGCGTCGTCGCGCGCGCATGCCGAAATCCTTCAAAAACCTTCGGTGCCGGAAGGATTTCGCAATCGAGTTTCCAAAAACACATACAAAAACATAGGGTTAACACTGATTTGCTAAAAAATCCGAGCGAGCTCTTGCGAAATCTTAGGAACACCATAGGTTTTTCAAGATTTTCACAACATGCTACCAAACGGGCTTCGCGCGCGCATGTCGAAATCTGTCGAACGCCCTTGCGCGTGTGCCGTCGCGAGGATCCTCTGCAACAAATGGGACGAAGTGCAGACGCGCGCGTCGTCGCGGGCGTATGCCGAAAACCTTCAAACCCATCGGTTTCGGAAGGATTTCGAAATCGTGTGTCCAAAAACCTACAACAACCAAAGGTTTCGCAACACGGGTTTTCAACAAAAGCGTACGCGCGCGCGCTCTTGCGTCGTCGTCGTCGTCGTCGTCGTCGCCGTCCTCCCTCCTCCCGCGTCGTCGTCGTCGTCGCCTACGTCGTCGTCTGTTTTTCCTCGTGTTCGTCGTCGTCGTCTTCTTTGGCGTCGTGGTTGTTTCCGTCGTCGTTGTCGCCGTGGTCGTCCTTCCTCCTCCTTCCTATTTCGTCGCCGTCGTCGTCGTCGTTGTCGTCGTCGTCGTCCCTCCTATTTCGTCGCCGTCGTCGTCCTCGTCGTTGTCGTCGTCGTCTTCCCTCTTCCCTCGTCGTTGTCGTCGTCGGCGTCGCCGTCCTTCCTCCTTCTTCGTCGTTCGCGTCGCCATCCTCCCTCCTCCCTCGTCGTTGTCGTCGTTGTCGTCGTTGTCGCCGTCGTCGTCCTTCCTCCTCCCTCGTCGTCGCCTTCGTTGGCGTCGTCGTCGTCTTCGTCGTCGTCGGCGCCGTTGTCGTCGTCGAAGTCAACGGAGACGTCGTCGGTGTCGTCGAAGTCGTTGTCGTCGGTGTCGTCGCAGTCGGTCTTAAGAGGTTTTGCAAACCAAGTTGCGGGCGGGTGGGTGGGATGTTTGCGCGAGCAGTGGTGATGACGACTTCAAGTTCAGCAGAGTGGATTCTCCTTTCTGAAAAAAGAATAGACTCTACCCCCCCCTGGACTTATCGGTTCCCCTCTGGGATAAGATGATTCCATATATATATATACACATATATATATATATATATATATATATATCGATATTCTGCACATTCGTCCATCCTAAATATGAAATCGTACCATCCCAGCTAGGCCAGCTTCCCCCCCTGAGGTTCCCTTGCAAAAAAAAAAAAAAAAAAAAAAAAAAAAAAAAAAAAAAAAAAAAAAAAAAAAACTATGCGGTGACATGCTTTGTTCTAACATAACACTTTTGCACGAATCCCTTGCAACAAATGAAACGAAGTGCACACGCGCGCGTCGTCGCGCGCGCATGCCGGAATCCTTCAAAAACCTTCGGTGCAGGAAGGATTTCGCAATCGAGCTTCCAAACAAACGTACAAACACACAGGGTTTCGCAACACTGATTTGCTAAACAACTTCCGCGAAAGCTCTTGCGAAATCTTAAGAAAACCATAGGTGTTTCAACATGTTCACAAAATGCTACCAAACGGGCTTTGCGCGCGCTCATGTCGAAATCTGTCGAACGCCCTTGCGCGTGTGCCGTCGCGAGAATCCTCTGCAAAAAAAGGGACGAAGTGCAGACGCGCGCGTCGTCGCGCGCGTATGCCGAAAACCTTCAAACCCATCTTTTTCGGTAGGATTTCAAAATCGTCGGCGTCGGCGTCGTCGTTGTCGGCGTCGTCGTCGTCGGCGTCGTTGACGTCGTCGTCGTCGGTGTCGTCGTTATCGTCGTCGTCGGCGTCGTCATCGTCGTCGTCGTTGTCATCGTCGTCGTCGTCGGCGTCGGTGTCGTCGTCGTCGTCGTCGGTCTCGTCGTCGTCGTTGTCGTTGTCGGCGTCGTCGAAGTCGTTGGAGACGTCGTCGGTGTCGTCGTAGTCGTTGTCGGCGGCGTCGTCATCGTCGTTGTCGCTGTCGTCGTTGGCGTCGCTGTTGTTGCCAAATGCCATGTGGTACACACCGTCACGGTCTTAAGAGATTTTGCAAACCAAGTTGCGGATGGGTGGGTGGGATGTTTGCGCGAGCAGTGGAGAGGACAGCTTCAAGTTGAGCAGGTGATTGATTCTCCTTTCTGAAAAGAGAATATACTCTACCCCCCCCGGACTTAACGCTTCCCCCTTGGATCGTATAGTTTCATACATATATATATACATATTATGCACACTCGTCCATCCTAAATTTGAGATCGTATCATCCCAGCCAAACCGGTATCCCCCCTCTGAGGTTCCGTTGTTAAGCAACACTATGCGGTGACATGTTTTGTTCTAACATAACACTTTTTCGCGAATCCCTTGCAACAAATATGACGAAGTGCACACGCGGGCGTCGTCGCGCGCGCATGCCGAAATCCTTCGAAAACCTTCGGTGCCGGAAGGATGACGCAATCGAGCTTCCCAAAAAACATACAAAAACACAGGGTAACACTGATTTGCTAAACAAGCTTCCGCGCGAGCTCTTGCGAAATCTTAAGAAAACCATGGGTTTTTCAAGATTTTCACAACATGTTACCAAACGGGCTTCGCGCGCGCGCATGTCGAAATCTGTCGAACGCCCTTGCGCGTGTGCCGTCGCGAGGATCCTCTGCAAAAAATGGGACGAAGTGCAGACGGCCGCGTCGTCGCACGCGTATGCCGAAAACCTTCAAAACCCATCGGTTTCGGAAGGATTTTAAAATCGTGCGTCCAAAAAACCTACAAAAACCCAGGGTTTCGCAACACGGATTTTCAACAAAACCGTGCGCGCGCGCGTTCTTGCGTCGTCGTCGTCGTCGTCGTCGCCGTCCTCCCTCCTCCCGCGTCGTCGTCGTCGTCGTCGCCTACGTCGTCCTGTCTTTTCTCGTGTTCGTCGTCGTCGTCCTCTTTGGCGTCGTGGTCGTTTCCGTCGTCGTTGTCGCCGTGGTCGTCCTTCCTCCTCCTCCCACGTCGTCGTCGTCGTCGTCCGTCGTCGGCGTCTCGTCGTCGTCCCTCATATTTCGTCGCCGTCGTCGTCGTCGTTGTCGTCGTCGTCTTCCCTCCTCCCTCGTCGTTTTCGTCGTCGGCGTCGCCGTCCTTCCTCCTTCGTCGTCGTTCGCGTCGTCGCCGTCCTCCCTCCTCCCTCGTCGTTGTCGTCGTTGTCGTCGTTGTCGCCGTCGTCGTCCTTCCTCCTCCCTCGACGTTGCCTTCGTTGGCGTCGTCGTCGTCGTCTTCGTCGTCGTCGGCGTCGTTGTCGTCGTCGAAGTCGTCGGAGACGTCGTCGATGTCGTCCTTGTCGTTGTCGTCGGTGTCGTCGTAGTCGAACTGAAGAGGTTTTGCAAACCAAGTTGCGGGTAGGTGGGTGGGATGTTTGCGCGAGCAGTGGAGAGGACAGCTTCAAGACGGTCAGAGTGGATTCTCCTGTCTAAAAAGAGAATAGACTCGACCCCCCCCACCGGACTTATCCGCTCCCCTTTCGGATATGTAAATCATATATGATTCTGACCACTCGTCCATCCTAAATATGAAATCGTATCATCCCAGCCAAACCGGTTTCCCCCCCCGAGGTTCCCTTGTAAAAAAACACTATGCGGTGACATTTTTTGTTCTAGCATAGCACTTTTTCACGAATCCCTTGCAACAAATGGGACGAAGTGCGCACGCGGGCGTCGTCGCGCGCGCATGCCGAAATCCTTCAAAAACCTTCGGTGCCGGAAGGATGACGCAATCGAGCTTCCAAAAAAACATACAAAAACACAGGGTTTCGCAACACTGATTTGCTAAAGAAGTTTCGCGCGAGCTCTTGCGAAATCTTAACAAAGACATAGGTTTTTCAACATTTTCACAAAATGCTACCAAACGGGCTTCGCGCGCGCATGTCGAAATCTGTCGAACCCCCCTGCTCGTGTGCCGTCGCGAGAATCCTCTGCAAAACAACGGGACGAAGTG